GCAGCGGAAAGTGGCAGAGAGAGAGAGAGAGAGAGAGAGAGAGAGAGAGAGAGAGAGCTCACGAACGTCAAGAACATACACTGCCTGACCGTCGTCCCCTCAGGCGCGAGCACACAGCATGGAGCCCACGACCGCGACGACGAGCATCCTCACGTCGAACGGCCTCGACGAGGACGACGACGACGAAGGCCCCGTTGCCACGGCGTCATCCGCCAGCATGCGGTGCTCGATGACGCGCTTGTAGAAGAGCAGCGACGCCTTCGGGGTGCGGTTCAGGGTCCCAGACTCAAAGTCGACGTGCACCAGGCCGAACTTGGACCTGCGAAACGGAACGGCGGGGCCGGTGAGCAGCAGGCAGTGCAGAAGGTCCTTATAAGGGACGTTCTCAAGGTGCGTCCTCGGCGGTGAACCCGCCGCACGTGCTCTGCCCTTACTTGTAGCCGGCGCCCCACTCGAAGTCGTCCAGCAGGCACCACACGAAGTAGCCCTTGATGTTGTGCCGGTCCTCGTGCACGGCTCGCATCACCTCGCGCAGGTGGTCCTGTGAGGGTAGCGAGCAACGCACCGGCCACGTGACATTCACACTGACATTCGGTGGCGGGGGGACCGACCCACTAGTTACCCTAGTAACATGTGAAACTATCGATCGACTGTCGGGCGACTAGACTGTCGGTCGATAGTTTTAGGTTATCGTCGGGTAGGTTCAGTTCTGATGATAAAAGGTCGTCGTTGCGGTCGTCAGTGCCATTACACTGGGAAAACAAAGGTGCTGCCTAATGCCTCAGTGAAATCGCGCCTTTCAAAGGCGCTATTATACTAACCCTCCAAACTTACTATTTTCTATAGTACCCACTGTTTTTCCAGAGTAGAAATATAAAGCTATTCTGGGCTCCACACTCTGCACTCACCTGCAGGTACCTGCAGGTATACCAGATCCTAGTGTCATTTTGGAGCAACTGGGCTCGGCACCCTCCTACGGCCTACAGGTACCCGACCCTGGTGTCGTCATCGTCCCCGAGCAAGTGGGCTCCTACACCCACCTGCAGGTACCCGATCCTGGCCTCGTCCTGCAGTCCCTCCGCGCCGTCGTCGCCGAAGCCGTTCTCCGTGATGATGATCGGGAGCTCGCGGCCGTATCGCTTCCGCACCCACCCCAGCGACCTCCGCACGGCCCACGGCGTGCTCTGCGGCAGAGAACAACCTCGTCTCAAGGCGTGTCACAGATTATGACAACGGCGATGACAAAGATGGAAGAAGAAGAAGAAGAAGAAGAAGAAGAAGAAGAAGAAGAAGAAGAAGAAGAAGAAGAAGAAGAAGAAGAAGAAGAGCCCTTCTTTAGAAGTGCGCCTCCTTGCTACTGACGCGGAAGGGCCCCGGGGGCAGAAACTGATCGGCCGTGCCGATGATGGTGTAGGCGGCGTCCCTCTCGACCGACGGGTCGGCGGCGCCGACAGGCACGCCGTGTCGCGCCCGCCACCCGAAGTACACGTTCAGCCCGAGGAAGTCCAGGGCGCCTGTGGCCCCAAGGACCAGACGGTTTCAAATTATACAAACATACAGTCAATCTGTCGCGTGAATATTATATTTTAGAGACACTTCGGGAGAACTTGTCACGTACAGGTATGTAAATAGCTTAGGTTTAGTGGGTACGGCAGTCTGCAGGCACTTGACGTAAAGTACATTTCTAGAGTGAAATGGATCAGCCCTTAAATTCACCGTAAAACTTACAGTGCTCTGCAAGGTGAAAACGGCGTCCTGGTTTTCAAGCAGTTTGGGAAAAACCGGAAAAACCAAGAGGCCTTATGAAAGAAATCCATGGGGAAGTCTTCTTCGTTTTTCCGAAAGTCCTTTTGAAACCAGGACGTCGTATTGATCGTGTGCAGCAAGATCCGCCGCCTAGGTTACGGCGAACGAGACGGTGAAATTCCATGTAAGCTTTTAGCAGTACAGGGGAACAAAATTTGCTGTGCGTGAAAATTTACTCCCGCCCTGTCGCTGTTCTTGCGCGCATACACACACACCGGCGAGCAGTCGGCGCTCCGCCTCCGTGAAGGTCGGCAGCCGGGACGCTGCTCGGCCTCCGCCCGCCGCGCCGTTGGCGCCCACGCGCTGCCGCATGAGCTCCGGGTAGTCGCCGGCCAGGATGGGGTCGAGGAACCAGCCCAGCTGGAACTGCTGGTGGACCTCGGCGGCCAGGACGTCCTCGGCCTTCTGGCTGTCCGGCACCGTGTAGAAGTCCTCCAGTGTCAAACCGACCTTACCTAGCGGGCGCACACGTGGGAAGCGAGCAGGTCAATTGTCTAACATTATAACAGCCTTTTTTTGCTCGTTTGTTTTCAACAGAAATTTCAGAAATGCCACGTTGAATTCATTTGGTTGATTCCAGTTGTTGAACTGACCGCCCTGGTGCGAGAAGCTCTGCTGGTAGGCGCGGTACGCCCGGGCGTGCGCCAGCAGGATGTGGTGGCCGCAGAGGTACTCGGAGGTGCCGGGGTTCACCCGCGTGGCGCCCAGGCGGCCGTGACCGTGCCCGAACACACAGAACATGTAGGGCTCGTTGAACGTCACCCAGAACCGCACCTGCGGCAGGTGATAACACTCGTGAGACGTTTCATGGAAACTTTGTCAAGTTTTCACCGTTTTAACGTTTCTTCTTGTCCCAATTCTCATGCATATACCCTCAGACAAAAAACATACTAGCTGTGAAGCTAACAAATAGCTAAAAATAGCAGCTATGTTCAATAGCTAAATTTGTAGCTACACAGCTAAACTTTAAGCTAGATAGCTATTTTTTCTTAAATAGCTAAATTGGTAGGAACATAGTTATTTATTTATCCCGTAACACTTGTATAAAATCTAGTACAACTTTGTACTAGATTTTATAAAAACGTATACAGACCTCTGTATACAGT